CACAATGCGAATTTCATATTATATGTATGGCATATAAAATAGCATTTTAAAAACAACTCAGCATACATTCAAAACCCACCTTGATCACCGACATCCAAGTCGTCCATTAACACTGCATCGATTTCTTTTCGTTTCTCTCTTTTGTTGGTTTCTTTAAGCCATTTTGATGCATCTATATCCTTTGAGTTTGTTTGTTTTGCTGGTTCATAGATATAGGACTTATCGGTGTCCCCTTCGTCATTATCTTCAGCACTTGAATTGTACACTTCCTCTAAATCCACACCTTTTGAAATGTTAGAGGTGGAAGGGGCAGAACTGGTAGCGGAACCGCACGAGTCTCGAGTTTCAGAAGTACTCTTCTTATCCTCCTTGTCGCTATATATTGTCAAAACGAAAAAAAAATAGCATGTACTTTGAAATATAATTTCGGTGAAAATGATCGTCTGGGTTTTCTGCAAAATGATATACTTACAACTTTTTAATTTTCCTTGAAATTCGTTTCAAAGCTGCTTCTCTTGACGGACCGCCTTTCGTGCCCACATTTGAATAGTAAAGCTTTGCAGCTTCTGGTAAGTGGAAGGCCATCATCTCCACGTATCTTAGAACTCTGCCTGGAAGCCGCCCAACATTCCCCACGGCTTGTTTGATAATTAGGAGCTCTTTATCTTCTATGGGGACTTTTGCTTTAGACGACAAGCGCTTCTTGTTGTTCTGAGTTGGTTGTTCGGTGCCTTTCTCTTTGTTTCCATCAGGTATAATAACTGGATGCCCAGTCATTGCTGCTTCAAGGAAGATATTTCTTTTGGGATCCATCGTGAAACAGTTTAACTCGTCTTTCTGTACGTGCTGGACAGCTGGATGCGAAGTATACGAGATTTTGCAATGCTTTTGGTGTTTTATTTATACTAAAAAGGTGTTACTCGGAATAACAGTTGATATGCAATATTCACCTCAACACAAATTTTTAAGCCAAAAATGTACAATGATCACACGTTACACAATGGTTTGGTTACGTTTATCAACAAGGTGATAGTAATATCCATGGTTGTGATGGATCAAAATTAATGCGCGTGATCATAGCAAGTTTTCATTATTTTTTGGATAGGCATTTATTCATGATTATTGAGATCACGATGTCCGCCTTGCATTTTGAGTCATTCAGTGTGAAAACCATTCATATTTAAATTTGTTCGGGTGCAAACAGCTTTTTGCGTTCTTGTACTGGAAAGTTTGAGTGATCACAGTCACCATTATTATTTATTTATCAAAGATATGCCACCACCGTTTCCTTTTTTCTTTGGTCAAATTCCAGTGATTGTTCTGACATTATGCCAAATTCTGAATTACAAATACTACCCAGTTTTTCCCTTTGAAATTTTTAGTCGTTCAGATTTTGGATGAATATCCACTTGACGTCCTGGATTGTTTGGGTGCGTCTTTGGTCCCGRAATGAACGGTGGTAGAGATTATTACAGTGTCCTTATAAACTCGCCAATAAAATTTTGGTATCTAACCGGAGAAACTATAGAAACATTTGAAGAAATCGTGATAAGAATGAGAATACCGATACTGAACTTGCAACGGCGTAATGCTGCTGCTCGAGTGCGAATTCAACGCCTAACTATACGAAACAGGATACTTCTTACTATGGTATGGCTAAGACGATACCCGCAGCTACAAACCCTCGCAAATATGTTTAGAGTAGACATTTGCTACGTAAGCAGAAACGTCAAAGATATTGCTCCATTAATGCTGGATGTGTTTGTCAACGAAATTAAGTGGCCAACTATAAATGAATGGCAAAGCTRGCAAAACCACTGGGAAAAGTTCCCAAGTTGTGTTGGAATAATTGAAGGCACTATACACGAGATATGGAGACCATCACGGCGACAATATCTGTTCTATCGTGGCGACAAGAAAAGACATTTTATGGCTAGTCATCTCATTGTTGCACCAGATGGCATGATAGTTCACTGTTCGGCAGCGTAAGTATGAATATTGTGCGTTGAGGCTATGATTAGTAAGCGAATAAAAAAAATTAATTTTTCACAACTGAATAATATGGCAGATATCGTAAATAAATCCCTAACACATTTCCGGGACCATTTAATTTTGTAATTATTTGTCTAACACAGATATCCTGGTCATTTGAACGACACCAATTGCTTTAATATGATGCCAAGTATTGGTCCACGGTGCGACCTTCCTTTGCCTGCTGGATGCCACATTCTGGCAGACCTTGGCTATCCACCCCATCCGGTTATAGTGAGGCCCAAAAAGAGGAATCAAGTTAGAGGAAATCCAAGACTGCAAAGAATAAACAGAGAACTCCGGAGGTGCAGAGTTAAAGTAGAACATGCCATTGGGTTTTTTAAAACCTATCGATGTATTTCGGGTCGTTGGAGACACAGGCGAGCATTTCTTTCCATCGTAATTCACCTGTGTGCGTGTTTGAGCAATAGAAGACGAAGATTTCTAATGAATTAACATTATTGAAACTTACGTTGACAAGGAATAAAAACAAATTAATCCAATCAATCAGTCGCCAACTCATCACTATTCTTCCTCCATTCATTCGTCCATTGAAAACAAAACGAAAGAAGAATATAATATTCCCTCCCACCTCACCCAAATAAAAGAACCGTTAATTGGTATAGTAAGACTGCTCATCAACAATGGCATGTATTCATAGGGTGATAATGATGCTTTTAGAACCCTCATTATCTTATCACGGTGCTTGATAAGTGGGACGTCTTGGTACAACGGACACGTGTCTTATATGCAAAAGGTCTATTCGGAACTCAGTCCATAAAGTATGTCCTCAAGGGTTCGTAGTTGTCATTATTTCTCAATTGACACGGTTTTCTTTGTTATTCATTAGTTACCTAATCTAAATTAACGAGGACAATCAACTCCCTTGAGTTTTCTGATATAATCCTTTTATGTTTGTTATGTAATACCTATTACCAATATTCTAGAATTGACGAAATTACGTACAACACTAAATATACGATATAGATTCGAAAGCCTCTTTTCAAAAAAAATTAACTCTAAATATTCCAATTTTAATTCGATTCTTTAAAGTATTTTTAAGTAATACAAGAGCTGAGTCTTATACTGACTGGCAGGCTATTCAACATTTTGGGAGCTCAAATAGAGAACTCCCTATAACATATGTTTTTTAGTGAAACATATGTTGACCATAGGTCACCCATACCTGAACAGAGCTGAATAGACCTTTCCCGAATTCGCTTGACTGATCACGAAACAATGGTTTCAAGTCGAGCTTGAACTTGATGAATAAAAGAATCAAGTTCAGTCTCGACTTCAAACCATTGTTTCGTGGTCAGTCAAGCGAATTCGGGATAGGTCTATTCAGTCGTACCATTCTGGGCCGAAGAGATTTTCACACCAATAGCGAAAAAGAAAAAATTATAAAGCCTTCTTCAACATAGAACTTAATCCTATCTTGAATTAATGAGAACAATTAACTCCCTTGAGATTACGTGACTTTCACTGATACATTATATGTATATATGTATTCACATAATTCGATGATTCAATATCAGTCATCCCTTAGCTTGCACTGACTGGGTTAACGATACGACCTCGAACTTCTTCTGGTAAGTTTATGTTATTTGTAAGAATAATTTTATTAAATCGTCTTTGGCTTTTGATGTTTTTCTGGGACATCGACTAGTTTCGGTTCGTAAAATTAGTTCTGGTTTGACTGAAAACATTCACTTTGAAATTAATATATTACGTAGGATCTTTGCTAATAACTTTCTCGATTCAACCTTTCACCCTTCGTTCGGGGTAGAGTTCAGCAATTATTCACTATTACAATCTATTTGCCATTACTTTTACTTATAAGCTAAATTAATAGAATTTTATGAAAATAATGGCGAGGATGTCTGAAATTCGAGGCATCATTTCTTCAAAGAATGTTCATCTAAACTGTGATGCACTCTATTCAATCACTAAACCAGTTTGTTTATCTCAGTAAAATCGGCACAGATTTGCCACTAAGAGACCTAATTTTGCCACCAAAGCTTGACTCAAAAAGTCGGCCAAATTCGGACTCAAATCTTGCTGAAAACTAGCTTGGCTTAATTATCGTGGTCTCAGCACAGTTATTCTGTCAAGGGAAGCAGTTCGTTCTTTGGGGATTGACGTAAACGTTTAAAGAACAGTTGTAGCACTCCCCCTTCTACTTCGTAAGAAAATCATGGCCTCCTTTGATAAAGTCAAGCTAGACCTATTGGGGTAATATTGGAGTAACTATTGAGGTTTGGGGCATACAAACCCAACCTCTTCCCCAATATATTTAAAAAGACACTTTCTCTAAAATGAGCCCGAGCGTTTTTCCCTCTCTGCTGTTTGAAATAAAGAACGCTATGAATGATTCTTCTCAACAAATAATTTATAAAGACGTAGTTACGTTGTTAGTAGTTGTTTGATAGAGAGGAATGATTCCCCTCTATTAACTATGTACGTATTATACGTACAAACATGTAAACCATTTGCATTCCTTAATAGACTACTGTATTGCAAAGTTGAAAGACGGTAACCTTCGAAAATCCCCAAATGAAATTCTGTATTACGAAACATAGACAGCAGAAAGAGAAAATACACCTAATTTTATTCGAATACCCGAGTGAGTTTTTAGGTCACACACTATATAAATCACAGAAATTTTCAAATGCGTTCGCATATGAGTTTTTGGTCTGCTTTATTTATTGAATACTCTAGTCCTGGAGATGCAATAGGCTTCGTTCATAATATATGGCAGGGGGAGGGGGCAGGGGGG